CTTGATTCTGCGAGACCCTCATCATGTGTGCCGCCCTTTATTGCAACTCAGCAGCAATACAAACCTGAGGGGCCACTCATTAAAACTCGCAGAACAATACAGTCGTCTGGAGTGCCGCAAAAATTTCTTTTCCATCCGTGTCTGTCACCCGTGGAATGCTCTCCCAGAATCGGTCGTCTCTGCACCGACACTAACAATATTTAAAAGACGGTTGGGCGATGCACTCATCCACTTACCCTTTGTTACTTAACACTATGTCTCCATCCTACACCTGGAGTTTACCCTGGAATTATTTGTTGTTAACTGTGGGTGTTGTGAATCTAAGTGGATCGCAGGACTGCAGCGAAGCAAACGATAAGTCCTTATTTTCGTATTTAAAGTGTTAACTATTTTACTATCCTTTTCATCATAATTATTATGTCGATATCCCCAACAACAATCCAACGGGGCTTGTAAAGCAACGCTTCTTAACCCGTATAAATTCATTGTCATTTTCATTGTCATTGTCTCCCACACTTGACCTCTCTAGCCCTCTGTGGGCTACTACAAACCGAGAAACTGCCCTGCTTGTACACGAATACTCAGGGTCTTTCTAATAAACTTGTCGAACTGAAAACTCGACAAGCTTCCGGGTCATGTGTTGTCATAGGTATCACCGAGACGTAGTTGCACACGGGAATGACGGACGCTGAGGTTTCGCTACCGGGCATGTCGCTGATCCGGGACGATAGGCTCACAAAGTAGGAGGGGTAATCCTGTATTACCGAAGCGACCCACAGTGCGAAGCCGTGGAGGATTCCGATTCGCAGTTCCCTGACTCTCTTTGGTGCCGCTTGCAGTTACTTGGCAGAGACACTTGCATTATTGGCCTGGTGTGCAGACCCCCTAACTCTACACTCGAAACCGACTGCCACCTAGCGGCTACTTTAAGATACAGTTTACAGCGAAAATACACTCGTATAAATATCATGGGCGATTTCAACGTACGTTGTGTAGAAACTCCTACCATGTTCAGAGAACAATTCAAAGCCCATCTACAAGATCTGGTAACCGGTGTTCCTCTTTACAATTACATTAGTTTGTCCAGTCGGTTCAGAACAGGTAACAGGCCATCTGTTCTGGATCTTGTGCTTACCAACGAGGAGCATATGATTGATGCATTGGTTGTAGACTGTCATTTGGGTCGCAGTGATCACGCAGTCATCAGTTTTAATTTCGTCTGCCATGCAAAATATCGGAATGATAACGATGGGACTGTGCGAACCATCCCAAGCTACGATCGATTAGCCCAAATAGTCAGCGCTATAACTTGGTTGTTCCTTGCCGAAGAACCCCCGAAAGTCCCCAGGCTCGAGTTCGTCAGCAAATTCAGTCAGCTGCAGAGGCTTTAGAGATAACAGTTTGTAATAAGTGTAAATCAGTTTCTTTCGTTGGGAGTAGAACTCGAATATGCATGACAGTACACAACGCAGTATGGCGAGTGTACAGAGAAGCTACAGCATCAGAAACTTGGGACAACTACGTAGCCCAACACAACCACTGCATGCAACTGCTAAAGGAAGACAAAGCCGCCTATCAGCACCACATAATAAAACCTTCACAGCTTAACACAAACCGCTGTACAAGCCCATCAAAATCCTAAGAAAGATAAGGCAAGGATTTCCTCCACCCAGGATGGCTGATGGCTCAACAAGAACGGCAGTAGAAGCAGCAAACGAGCAGGGGAAGCAATATACCCTCACGTTTCAGAGGGTCTTACCACCAAGCGATCGTCTAACCTTTGTCGTCTCCTCGCCAGGACTAACCCACATCACTTTGACCGCGGAGGCTGTATTGCAAAAGCTGACTACGCAAACGTAGCTCACCGGGTGGCGATACCGTTCTTCCAGAGGCACTGCAAGCGGCAGCATGCCAACTGGCAAGATTTTAGCTTTGTATTTCCAGTGCTGCTTGGACCAGAACCAACTTCCCACTATGTGGAAGCTTGGAATAATAACCGCTATTCACAAAGGTGGAAGCAGAACTGAGCCCTCCAACTACCGCCCAGTAGTGCTTCTTCTTATACTCTCCATGGTCATGAAATCCTTTGTTGCCGATACACTAGTGTGCTATCTGGAAATTGTAATGTCTTCACGTTTAAGCAGCGCGATTTCCGTCGGCAGCTGTCACGCACAAGAAATTTACTAATCGCACGCAGTAGTTAGACAGAGGCAGCTGACGCTGGAGAAGGCGTTGATGTGATCTACCTGGATTCTTCGAAGGTTTTCGATCGTCTAGACCATCAGATACTACGCTCCTAGCTTCAGCAGTACTAAATTGGCGACCCTCTTTAAAGCTGGATTGCCAACTTTCTACTTCAACGGCAATTAGTGGTCAGAGTTCGGAGCTCTTTATCGGACCCCATACAAGTCGAGTGTGGTGTGCCGCAAGCCTAAGGACTAGGTCCACCTTTGTTTTTGTTGTTTATTAATATGCTCGCACAGGCAATCATTTCAAATTTCCTAATGTTTGCTGAGGATATCAAGCTTTGGCGCAGGGTCCAGGCGAACTCCGAGTGGGACCTAGATACCCAAAACTTAATGCATTTCAACGTCAGTAAATGCAAGGTACTTTTCATCCGACATCAGAGCAGTTACTTATACCGACTCGGAACGGATGTACTGCAACAATCAACTCTCGAACGTGACTTGGGTGTTTTGCTTCAACGTGACTAGGGTTACTCCAGGCAATCCGAAGACTGGGAACCAACTCCTCGGGCTGTTGCGACGCGCGTTTGGACAAATAAACTGCTCCATATTTCGAGAAAGGTTCGGTGCGTATCTTCGCCCCCATGTCGAATACGCAATTCAAGCCTGGCATCCATGGCTGAAACACGACCTTAATGCACTGGAGCACCTGCAACGCCAGGCATCTAAGAACGTAATTGGAATGCGCAGTCTTTCATAACAGGAGAGGCTGCAACGATTGGGGGTATTCGGTAGAAGCTATCGCAGACTACGAGGCAACCTGCTCATGGCATACTTGATTCTGTGAGACCCACATCATGCGTGCCGCCCTGTACTGCGACTCAGCATCAATAAAACCCTGAGGGGCCACTCATTGAAACGCGCTGTACAGTATAGCCATCTAGAGTGCCGCAGGAAGTTCTTTTCCATTCGTGTCTGTCACCTGTGGATTGCTCCCCCAGAATTGGTCGTCTCTGCACCGACACTAACAGTACTTAAAAGACGGTTGGACAACGCACTCATCCACTTACACTTTGTCACTTAGCACTGCGTCTCCATTCTACACCTGGAGTTTTCCATGGAATTATTTGATGTCAACTGCGGGTGCTGTGAATCTAAGCAAATTGCAGGACTACGGAGGAGCAAACGATAAGTCTTTATTTTCATATTCAAGGTATTCTGTTTAACTACTATTAGTATTGTTATTATTTCTTTTCAATTTCCGCACCAACTATCCAAGGGGATTTGTAAAGCAACGTTTATTAACCCGTATAAACTCATTGTTCCTTGTTCACTGTTTAGCCTGAAACCCCTAGTAGTGCGGACCACTCTCGCTGAGCAAATCAGGGTGGAACTGCAAGAGCTACTACTTGGTTTACAGCTGTACAAGCATGCACTTTACTAAGAGGTTTCAGCACAGAAAATGAACCAGTCAACTTGGGCCTAATGATCACCGAAGAACTCATGGTCGACGTAGTAGAGAATGGCGCTCCTTTGGGCCTCATTGCTAATGCAACGCTACGATTCAGCTGTATGTGTCCAATTTTCTAAAGAAAGCACCGAATAACCCCTCACTGTAATCAGTCTTACCTCATTGGAATAACTATCAGTATGGTGAGTTGGAATATATACGAACTTTTTCTCCCGCTCATCGCACCTAATTAATGTCATAACTTTAACGCCATTCAATAGATGGCTTAACGACACACTGACGTACTTACACTACGTGAACACGCTCATGCCATCCAATGACGACATTAGTGTACAACAAATGGTGCGCCGTATCAGACTCACCGTAATCTCTAGGCAGGTATGCTCACATCTGTGCGCTGCAAACCCCTTGATGATTCCTGCAACGTGCACTTTCTTTTATAGACACTGTATTTTCATTGTGTGGTGTTCATCGCATCCATCCAACTGAACTTGTCCGCCATTCGCTTTTTTATCGCTTATAAGCTAATGCCCCGTAGTGAACTTGAACTTGTATCTCTACTCTCCATCTAATGACCCACACCCTAAGTGTGATTTCTACTGCTTCTGTAAGGACCACCAAGTGGAGACGTTTGCTTCCGAGATAGTTCATTCATATTTCACGGCAAACAAAATTCCTTAAGTTCGCTAGTTAGAGACACGTGTTACGGCACAGTTGGAGGTTTGCTGTATCGAAGCTGGTCGGTCGGCCACATCGACTGTCGATGACCGTTTTGCCCCAATGAAGTCAAACTGTCTTCTTGTCAGTTTCGTCATGACTTCTGTCAAGTCACTGTTGATCATACCAATGCTTCACATAACATTTCGTAAACAATAGTCTCCGACCAGCAGTTTGGCTGCCCCATGAGAGAGAATAGCTGTGGATCGGAGTGTGCACAGGATCTGTGGGATTTTAATATCGATACGGTTAGCCAGCACTGTGGAATTTGGTGATGACCTGGTCAGAACCGTTTGTGATCTATTCCATTCGTATCTAATACCTCTCCAAACTCTCTATCGATGGAAAATCACATGAGTACGGCGCATCTCCTTGTCAGGAAAACCGGGAGAATGACATTGTACCTTTGGTGGAAGCGTGTTGATTAAGGTACCGCCTCGTCCCACATCAAAACAGGTTGATGGACGTAATTCAGTTTGTAAAAATAGCGGGTTTTCGTGCTGAGACCGACCGGTCAGTTGACTAGCTCCTTTTACTACCTCGAGAGATTGGTTATTCCCAAAAATACATGTTTGGGTCTTTCTATTGCAGTCAGTATGTTGGTCTGAATGCTGCCCATTTTAAACGATTTTGTGCAGTTTATCTTTGTATGCTTTGAAAATGGCAGAAAAAGTGAAGCAATGAATCAGGGTCGTTAGAATGTTGCCACCCTGTACGGTTAATGTATGGATGGCCTTGCTTTGCTTTCGGTGATAACAAAGTAACGCAGTCTTCACGAATATTGTGTCGGTCCTGCAAACTGACTTCATTCAGTCCGGCAACGAGAAAAACTAAGGTTACACCTAGCAGGGTTTCTCACGGTATGAAACATAATTCGGCAACGAGGCCCAAAAAACCCTCGCATATCAATTGTTCATTTGTTCTCCGAGCTTGGCGGTTTTCTCGCAAACTTTTCACCACCATGCGAGGTAGCATCCTCAGTGCAGTGATATGTAGCGTGTAAGTTTACTAAATGAATCATCCATCCATGATCGACCTGCAGGTGACTTTGAACGTGGCAGTGTCGATTTGAGGCAGAAAAACTCGGACGCCGACTTTAGCCTTGGGGAAATTGGTTAGAGGTCACAGGACCTAAATCGACACTGCTACGTTCAAAGTCACCTGCAGGTCGATCATGGATGGAGGATTCATTTAGTAAACTTACACGCTACATATCACTGCACTGAGGATGCCACCTCGCATGGTGGGGAAACGTTTGCGAGAAAACCGCCAAGCTCGGAGAACAAATGAACAATTGATTCATCAACCCGAGCTACCAGTATTTCGAAACATTTTAAACTCTCGCCTCGTTGCGTGAGCTAAAAACAAGTGGCTTAGACACTACTTAGGTGCTACAATTAACAGTTGGAGATGGGGCTAAGAATAGGAGGAATACCGTGATCCGTCTCCTGAAGCAATAAATTCTGCGTACCAGTAAGGAAAACCAAGATGATAGGTTTTAAAAGTTCTAGAGAATCGAAATGGTGAAGCACAATGAACAATGCTTTATAAAGGGTAAAAATAAAGCAGGTGCTTGACATGTCCCGTAGGGTGTTTAGCGCGAAAAAGATAGATCAAGGGATAATGGAGTCGTCAGTTCGGGTGATTACAGATTTAACTGCACTGCCGTATAAAGGGAGTTTGGAATGAGAATGTACACACACAAAGCAATAAGGGGAGTGGTTATTGATCACATAATAGGTGAGAAAAAAATAAAAGCTTGGATTTATTAAATGTTATCTCAACCGCACCTGGATTTCCCCTCTCTCTCTAACACAGTGTATTCACTGGTGTTGGTACTGCTGGTGAACGGATGTGCTTGGGTGTGTGCCAACCGACGCATTTAACTTGCGGAACAAATGGACCTCCCGATAGTCGCACATTAGTGCTCCTGGTGTGATAATCCTGACTGATTTGTGGGCGTAATTCGTCCAGCGCGTTAGCCCCAGTAGCAATCAGTAGGCGTCTGCTGCTTGGAGCAGGGCACGGACTTCTGGTAACCGATAGTGCTTCTTTGCCATTTTTGTCCAATTTGACATGTTCTGAGCCATTGCACCTCGTATTCCACCAACATGATCAGTGCTAATTTGACCACCTGGTAATTTGCACTAAACAGGTGGATTAAAACAAATCGCCATGCGACATACTAAATCGGTATCAACCCTGGTAAATTGCGCCGTACAATTTATACACTCTCCTGGGGGTTATGAACTAGCCACTCTTTTGCAACTCTGGGGGATGCTTGCCTCCGCGCCGGTAGAACAAATTAAGCACTCGCAACGGTGATCCTTATAACACAGATGGGCCAGTTTTGTGGCAGTTGAGTGCCTATGGTCCAGTTAGATCCTCCGATATCATCAGAATGGGCTGCGGGTCGGCAATTTTCCCGCCCGAGTTCGACCGATCCAAAAGACTTGTAACGCTTCTTTCAGTATTTCCTGATAGACGGCTGCCTGACCAGAAGAATGGGGTCAGCGGTTCACGTCTGTTGCACGCATATATAACGAAGAACATCCTGTGTTAAACAAAATCACTGGATTCGCAGCTTCAATCAAGATGAAAATTTCGTCTAGAATGTATTTAGTCGGCGACTTTTGACACACTTCAATTCCTAAGTAACCAATTCCGGTAGGAAATAACAAGAACCCACTTGCTTGGTAAGTTTAGTAGTTCGACTATGATTGCGCTCTACGTTTCCCGAGATTCTCGAACAGATGCTGGGACTTAAGGGTGGCTCATTTCCCCAAGTCCGTGCTCATGCATGTGAGTGCTGTCTTCCTGATGTAAAAGATTTCATGGTGAGAGTGTCTTTTTATTACTGCATGTTTCCCAAGGCGACACCCTCACGCTTCAAGCTGACGCCTGCCTAACCGTACTCAACATTGGCACTTCAACAGATGTCACCAGTCTGTTTAGTACAGGGGTCTCAATACTTTTTGCAAGGAGGGCTACATTTTGTGAGGTTAAAATATGTCCGGTCATATTCAGTCTGACATTAGGATAATTACAAACTTACCCATGTACGAAAAAATCCAAGCCTGAATTTATTAGTTCATGACAAGGCTGCGGGCCAGTGGAAATGTTAACGCGGGCCGCATTTGGCCCGCGAGCCCAACTTTGGACATCCCTGTTTTAGGACTTGGGAACTAGAAAATGCTGCCAACTGACCCTGAGACTGGTTACAAACTCCCCTCTTAAGTGCAATTGTTCATTTGCTCTCCGCCCTTGGTGATTTTGTCGCAAACGTTTCACCACCATGCGAGGTGGCATCCTCAGTGCAGTGAGATGAGCCGTGCAATCTTACTGAATAAATCTTCCATCTGTGATCGACCTGCAGGGGACTTTTGAACGTGACAGTGTTGATTTATCTTCCTTGACCTCTACCTACTTTCCCCTAGACTAAAGTCTGCGCCCGAGTTGTTCTGCCTTAAACTGCGTGACAGTGACTGCGTGACACAATGCGACGATTGGGTTGGCTTGCCGAACAACCTCCTCGTAGTGTCAGCTGGGTGGTTCGGGATTTTCCGGTTCCAGCAAATGCTTCGGCCTCAATGTTCCAGGACGTGGTGGGTTTTCGCCTGGCAAGCCTTCTCCCTATAAAAACCACATATGTCCGTTTAACAACACTATGATGTGGTGGAGGTGACTCGCCACTAAATGAAGTCACTGCCGCTTGCTTCATCCTGGCGAAGCATTGTATTCCAGAAACTTTGTGCTGTAATTCTGGGGACCATTGGGCCCCTGTTTGACAAAGAAACAAACGAAAGGCGTATGAACTGAGCAATCAGTCACCGGCTCCCAATGGGTGCGATTCCCTGAATTCGCTCCGCTACCTTGCGGGCAGGATATTCAGACAAAGGCTCGGACTGGTGTCCCCTAAGTCAACGCCCTACTTCGGCTTCGGCAACCGGGTAGTATCTTGCCCTCTGACGAAACCATGGAATTTAATATGTTGTGTTGTGTTTTCTTTTACAATTTCTGTACCTTCTTTTGTGTTTCATGGTTTCTGATGGTGCTATGTCTATTCATAGACTGTTGCAAAATATATATGCGGCGACTGGCGCATTGGTGTGTGAGAAGAATGCAGCGTTTGCTGCACATGTGGCAGACCCCAGTGGCTGGGGAAAGAATAGTCAGTTTCGCAAATTTCGACAGCGACTGACCCGAGAGGTCCGTCGCGTTAAAAATGCATGGTGGACGAAGAAGGCGAAGCAGATTGAATGTTACGTCGAACGTCTCCAGCACAAGGAGTTCTTTGACTCCTTGAAGGTGGTGTATGGACCGAGGTTGAAGCAACTGAGGACGCTAATCGATGGTAGTTTAGGCGCTGCGTACACACAGACTGCAAATATAATGCATATCTTGCAAAAAGAGTTTAGCTGTCTCTTGAACAACCGTTGGGAGATTGACGGGCCAACATTCAATGGCCTGAAACAGCACGAAGTGTAGGTGAGTTTGGCGGACACGCCGACACTGGATGAGACGCAGACAGCACTTGCTCATCTGCGAAACGACAAGTGTGCTGGGACCGACGGGATCCTGCCTGAAGTATTGAAACACGGCGAATCAGCCTTGTTGACTGCGATCCACTACAGGGTGCAGCGTGTGTGGATTTAGAAAGAGGTGCCCGCTGAGCTGAAGGATGCCATTGTGCTACCACTGTACAAGGGCAAAAGAAGCAAGCAATGTTGCACAAATTTTTGTGATATCAACTTACTGAGTTGTGTGTACTAAGTGATTGTTCGAATCCTGCTCAACCGCCTCGTCAGTCGGGTTGTGGAACTGAACGTGGCGGAAGAGCGGTGCGGATTCCGTTTGGGTCGTACACCATATACATCCTTGTGCACATTAATTGAAACAAACTGCGAAAACACTGAAAAACCTTTTTTCAAAATTGTTATAATGAATTGCACTAATATACTCACATCAATACACAACATGACATCCTCGACTTTTGAGTAGCATTTTAATACGGTTTGTCATGGAATCCACTAAATTTGAACAAACTTTAGCCCATCTTGGGTCTCTGTACCAAACTTGAATTATAGCTTGATTAAGTTTCTCCTTTGTCGTACAGTCCATACCACGAAGGCGTTGCTTGCAAATAGACCACATATTTTCAATGGGGTTTAAATCTGGTGAATTCCCAGGCCAGTCCAAGATGGTTATTTGATTAGTATTGAAAAAAATCTTAACCATTTTTGATGTGTGGCACGGGGCCAGATCTTGTTGAAATAAGCCAGATCCGTCAGGAAACGACATTTTTAGTTCTGGAACAGCTCTTCTTTGGAGAACTTCTATATATTGTGGAGAGCGCATCATGCCCTGGACTGGATGCAAGGCGCCGACGCAGTAATAACTAAAGCATCCCCCAAAACATCTGTTTTTGTGGGTGTTTCACAAAGTGGTCAATGTGGGAATCACGAACCTTTTCTCCCTCTGACCTCCAAACATACTGACTTCTCTGACCATGAACATAGAAATGGCTTACATCGCTGAATGGAACTTTTCTCCAAGCTTCTTTTGTCCAGTTTTTGTATTTTAGTCCCCATTTGTAACGCTTAACTTTCATTACTTTTGTCAGCAGTTGTTTTTTCACAGGCCGTCTGGCTTTCCGACCAACTTCCAGGAGTCGCCTGCGAACCGTTGAAGAACTGATTTCTATTCCTTTCTCCCCCAAATCACGTTTTAATGCGTCACTAGTCTTTCGAGGATCTTTAACACTTTCCCGTATTAGGTAAGCGTCATCCCTGGCAGTGGTTTTCCTCTT